GATGTATTTGGGATAACGAGTGAATAATAAGATCTCTGCTCCGCCGTGGACGTAGGCATATTGCCGAACCACGTAAATCTTGTGTCATTTACTTTCTCGTCTTTAATTCGTATTGTCCTCGTTTCACAACAATATTATTATCTCACCTGATGTCAGCTAGATATGTGTATTTTTCATTCATCAACTTTGCAATTTTTGTCAACATTGGTCTTCGTTGACAAACGCATCACACAATTGGGCTGAATGAGAACTAAACTCACAATTCATCACTTCGACTAACGGTGCCAAAACCGAGAATAAATGGGAAGAATAATTATACTAGAAAGTCCAAAACATATATGACATTGACGATGAAGTAATAAAAAAAATACGGAAGATTACTTACCATATATGTTGTTCCAATACTATCAGAGAACTAGGGCATAACCTACAAGAGAAAAGATACCAAATATACATACCATATTACCATAAATACAAAATTCATATCTTCCCGTTGCATATGACATTCTATTACGAGATCCATCCTATGCATTTAAATATATGTGAAAAACACATTCTCGCTTATTTTTGCAGTTTGTGGACGCGGAATGACAAATCAATTCACAAATTTTTATCTACTCAACACTGCGGATTACCTTGGAGATGCCTATGTCGACCATATAAAGAGTTTTAGAAGAGCGTTAGGTGCCGAGTCAACGGTGTGTCAGCAAAGGGGCTCACCAGAAAAGATACCCATGGTAAACGCGCAATTAGGAATGACGGGACAACCGTTTTTCCGTATGAGGCTCATTCACGGTGAGTTGTCCGTTGATCTTGTGATAAAACATGCAGATCTTTATGTGATAGGGGTCAACAAGATCATTCAAGTTGAAAATAAAGAAGGAGAGGTTGAAAATGAAGAAAAATTGCTTCTATTAAGAGAAGGGTGTTCGCCTATATTTTTAAAGCTCGACCGCAAGTGTACGGCTTCGCTCGTAGTATGTGGCAAGCAAGGTCGTATCCCAAGAGACCAAATAATTATTATACCAATTACTAGATTATGATAGTGTTGATTTTATTTAGATGACCGAATATGAGAGATTATGTCGCCAAAAACAAAAAAAAAAATATCTAAATTAAAATTTTCACTATCTATCGTAATATTGATATAAATAATTATATTAGTCCCCGGCAACGGCGCCAAAAACTTGTTCGCCTATATTTTTAAAGCTCGACCGCAAGTGTACGGCTTCGCTCGTAGTAAGTGGCAAGCAAGGTCGTATCCCAAGAGACCAAATAATTATTTAATCAAGTACAAGAGTATGATAGTGTCAATTTTATTTAGACAATCGAATATAGGATAGATTAACTAAACTACGAAATAAATCAACGCAAATAAAACAAGAATAAGAAAACAACTAGAAAAACACTTAAGAAGAATATATGGGAATGGTAGATTCTAAGACTATGGGTTCAATTAACAGTTGGGTTCCTTCAAATTTATCACAACTAACTATTTTCTTTACCCTATAAGATGATCGCAATTTTAGCCTATCGTCCCTCTCGAGATCGATAAAACCGTAGATTAAATCACATATATTAGCGTCTCCACTCAACACATGCAATTCAACTCCAATTAGAACAAAAGATCTAATATCCTCACAATGGCCTACTAATCTCTCGATTCAAGCAAGTAAATTATGTCAAATATTAAAGACCTAATATTGAACTCATCTCTCGAATTATGAACAATATTGTCAAACATGTAAAAGAATTGATCAAGTTCTAAACATGAAATAAGAACAAAATATTTGAATAGGGTTCAAAAGAAAACAATCAACTATGATAAATCATCCAAAATCCCAACATATTAATCTACTACCATGTCTTAGAATCAAATAATCTAGCTACTCATGTTTGAAATCAAATACATAGACATATTAGAAATCAACATGATCAATAAAAGTTCAAAAGGAAAGAAGAAAGAAAAACTAGGAATATTGTCGATCTTTCAATCTTCTTGATCCCTTTGTGGTTGATCTTCTTTTGCTTCCCAATTGCTTCTCTTGTGTGTTCTAGGGCTCCCCTATGGTATAATCACGTTTTCTCTCAAAATAGGGTAAATATGCCTTTTATAATGTCCAAAACCCTTCTCCTATTCAAAATAGACAAGAAATAAAACGCAGTCTGCTCGCATGACACGGCCATTCTGCCCGTGTCACCGTCCGTGTCGCAGCCCGTGTCAGGTCCCAGGTTACGAATTGTCTCTGTTGAGGTGACACGGCCTCTGACACGGGCATGGTGCCCGTGTCACAAATCTGCACTCTCTTTTTCGCTCGTTTTACTTGTTTCTTCTATTTTTTTCATCTTTGCATCAATCTTTCATCATCCCGGGGGTCTTAGGTACTCACCATGCGCCTCCAATAGCCATAAGCTCTACAAATATGTGAAAATATCTACAAAACAAGGACGTGTAATACCTTTCCAACGAATAGAGAATTAAAACACATATATGCAATTTATACACCAATAATGCAATGACTAAGCTCTAGATACTCAATAAATATGGTGTAAAATCACACATAAACAAAGGGAGAACTAATATTGTGGAGGTAAACGGCGCTACTTTTATCGACCATAGTTCTAGGGATTATGGCTCCTTGCGTCAAATTGGACGAGAGGACGCATACTTGGGGGCGCAGACACTTTCCGATTGTATTGAGGTTTTTTCAGCAGTGCCGTTGAAAGAGTTGGATAAAGACCGGAAGATGAGGAAGAAGGTGGCATATAGCTTCTACAGGATCTTATTCATTCTACCGGAAGCGATGAGGTTTAACCCGATCATGGACTTTGTTGCCAAAACCACCTTAGAGGACGAAAAGGAGGTGCCAGGTTGGATATTGGAGTTAGTTAACAAGTGGTCCGACCTGTCCAAAATTGCTCGGAAATATGAGGGTGCGGTTGATGATGATGAGGTGATTGAAGAGTTAGAAAGATGTTTGATAAATGAGATTGTACTTGAGGGCAACACGATTCGGCTACAAACTATGGGTCAGTTGCGAAGAGTTCTTGGGATGCTGACTTACGAGTCGGATGACGGTCCACCAGACTTGAAGAAAGGAAAGTCTCCTCAGAAAAAGAAGAACAAGTCCAAGGGCTAAAAAAAATACCACCACCTCCGGCGCTGCCATCTTCTTCCGGCAGCAGCCGCCCACAGACGGCAGGATAAAAACTCGAATTGCACCATAGTTTAATATGATATATCTAAGATAACAACTTTCTCGTTAAATGAGTTTTTATAGTCTTTTCATTTCTTTTGATCTCTATGTGTAAGTTGAATGAGTTTTATAGTTTTTTCATCTATTTTGATATATAAATTCATCTTTTCTATTTTTTTTTTTTTATTGGAAATATGGTTACAGTGTATGGTCGCATAAAATTTCAGTTGATACAAGTCATCTCCACATAATTTTACAAAATTCTTGAAATTAAGAGAAGAACATATTTAATATAAAACTAGTACGAATCACGTGCGATTCACGGATAAGCGATATTCATTAATATTTATAAATTAAAAATTCTCATTAAATAATATTATAAATTAAAAACATGGATTGATTTATTGAAAATATTATAGAAAATTTAAATGGTGCAAAATTACATAAAAATGTCTATTTAAAATTACTACACAGCCCGCACGTTGCACATAACTGATAATAAATTACATTATATTCGTTTCAAAATATGTGTCATTTCAAAAATTTTATTCAGAATAAAAAAATTAAATGATTTGTACATTAGTACGCAAATAAGAGCACAATACCATCTACCAAAAAATTAAAAGCAATATTAAAGATAAAGACTTTATTTAGTGCTTGACTCGTGAATCGTGATATACTTATTGAGATGATGCATGCCTAATAATCTTGAAATAGGGCATACCTAATAATCTTGAAATATTTAATTGCATCTATATCACAATTTAATGATGTTAGGCAAAGAATAGGGAATTCTCATACTTTTTTCTCCACTAAAAGTAACCAGATGGAGAGCCCCCACATCAGCATAATAGCCTTGCCCACCTAAATAAAATAAAACAAAAAACTATGAAAACACTAAATAATTATTACAAAAAGCACATCTTAAAAACTTTATTGAAAAATTTTTTTGAAAATTTAATTAAACTGTAGAAACCCTTTTTAGATTCAAAGGTATTACATTTCTCCAATTTTTTGTCACACTATTTGTAATATTCAAAAGAATTCATATGTGTATTTCTTACAATAGTAAGACTATTGGTAGGCAAGTTTATGTTTAACAGTCAAATAGTTATACATTTTTAACAGATATACATACTTGCAAACTTAAAATTCATATTATAAAAAAGAATATAAAGAAAAGTACTATGACTTTTTATATAATAAATATACATTTTTGTTTAAAAAAACTAATGGGTCGACCGCCTAACGGCTAAGCCCGACTTATACTAGAATTTGTGATACATAAAATATACAGTAAAGTGACCAAATTGCATAATTTGGGGGGCAAAAATGTAAACCAACACTCTATTCTGACTTTTTGTTAAGCACAACAAACCTTCAGTGTAATTTTTGCAATTATCCCCTATATATATAGTTTTGCAGCCATAAACCAAACTGTAGTAACTTTTCACTTAATCCATTTTTCCAGTTTTTCTTCATCTGAAGCATGACAATTCCTCTCATATTCCAAGCCACAGCAAATTGCATAAGACTTTTTTCAATAGCTTTAGCAATTTCTCTTGTGGCCATCATGTTATTGGCTTGTGATGAAGTTTTTAATGATCAGCCACTCAAGAACACAGTAATAATGCTCGGGATCGATTTTCAAGATTCTTGGTTTACCGACACGCATGCCGATTCCGGTGGTGGCCCGGCATCAGAAGAATAATCCGGTGGGTAAGTTTTTAGCTTTAAACTGAATATAGGCGTAAAAACACATTTCACACGAGTAAAATTTGTTTGAAATTTGAACTATAATAATCATCGAAGAATTAATTGTACTAGTAAACAATACATGCACTTACACAATGCAAACTCTCGAAAAACCGAAACATCCTTTGGTAAAGAAGTATAAAGCCCGAGAGAGGGATAATGATTAATGCATTTATAGAATCTTCCATTTTCTCTCGACAGCAGTTGTTATCATCGATATACAGTATGCTGCACTCAATGGATATTCAGAAACTGCAATGAGAGATTATATAATACCTTCATAAATAACTCGGAAAGAAATAACTGAAGGGCCATTAAAGGGATTGAAAGAATCAGAAGATAGAAATTATTTTCGATCGACATTGTTTATTTTACCTGATATATAATCTTCGACATAATCTTCTGTTAATCTCACCAATTTTGAAAAATGAGCCGCCTCAATTGCAGCAACAATGCTGCTATCTTTTGTTGAAAAAGGTAACCAAATGCGTGAGCACATTTAATTTTGGCTGCGGGATGTATGAATGCATTTAATTTGGCTGCTGAACTTGATTAGCTTTTGCGGACAAATGAGTGCATTCCTCAACTATAAATAGAGGGGTTTTGATACACATCAAACATACCAACCAGATACAGAGAGAGAGAAAAAGAAAGGGAGCAGGAAGCAAAAAATTTAGCTTCTGTGTGTATTTGAGTTGTGAGTTGTGAGTGAGTTTGAGAGTGTTTTGTAAACACGAGTGTATTTCTTTTTCCTAATAAAATATCTGCAGTAGTCCGGAGACGTAGGCATTATTGGCCGAACTCCGTTATCAATTTAGTGTGTCCAATTTTTCTTTTTTATTTCACTTTTATAGATCCGACTTCATGGAAATTTCAGCGTATTTTTTCCAACAACTGGTATCAGAACCAGATTGTTAATTCTGTATTTTTTGTGTGGTGTTACTATTCCGTTGAAAAACGTGAATAGTCCTAAATTTGTCGGCGGTACAAATTTATCTACCGACGTGTTTTAAAACACGGTAATTCACAAAAATTACATAAACGATCCGGCAGAGAAGTCAGATCAGAGTCGAAGTGATGGCTGCAAACGAAGGAAAAATGAAAATTGAAAAGTTCGATGGTCCGGACTTTGGCTTTTGGAAGATGCAGATCGAGGATTATCTGTACCAAAAGAATATGTATCAACCACTCACAGGAAAGAAACCAGAGGACATGAAGGAGGATGAATGGAGTCTCCTTGACAGACAAGCTCTTGGAGCCATCCGGCTGACGTTATCCCGTAATGTTGCTTTTAACATTGCAAAAGAAAAGACAACAGCAGGCCTCATGAAGGCCCTTTCCAACATGTACGAGAAACCATCAGCCTCAAATAAAGTTCATTTGATGAGGCGATTGTTCAACCTTCGAATGACCGAAGGTGCTCCGGTGGGACATCATCTCAATGAGCTCAACACCGTTACAACTCAGTTGAGTTCAGTTGAGATCGAGTTCGATGATGAAGTACGGGCTTTAATACTTCTGTCTTCCCTACCAGAAAGTTGGAACGCTACGGTCACGGCTGTGAGTAGCTCATCGGGAAGCAATAAGTTGAGATTTGATGATGTTCAGAATTTGGTTCTCAGTGAAGAGATCCGGCAGAGAGAGTCGGGTGAACCATCGACTTCTTCTGTATTAAATACAGAGTCAAGAGGAAGAAGTTCAACCAAAGAAAGCAGACATAACAAATCAAAAGAAAGAAGATCCAAGTCCAGAAATCATCGTAGTTCCCAAACCTCGAAGTCGATCGAGTGCTGGAATTGTGGGAAGACCGGGCACTACAAAAACCAGTGCAAGAGTGCACCGAAGGGTCAGGAGGCAAAAGAAGAGGCAAATATTGCTTCATCCTCTGGAGGAGATTCACTGATATGTTCTTTAGAGAACAATGATGAGTCTTGGGTGTTAGACTCTGGAGCATCCTTTCATGCTACCTCACAGAAGGAACTATTCGAGAATTATGTTCCTGGAAATCTTGGTAAAGTTTACCTTGGTAATGAGCAATCATGTGAGGTTATAGGGAAAGGTGCAATAAAAATCAAGCTGAGTGGGTCTGTATGGGAATTGAAAAATGTCAGACATATTCCCAACCTGACGAAGAATTTAATCTCCGTGGGCCAGCTAGCCAGTGAAGGCTACACGACAATCTTCCATGGTGATGATTGGAAGATTTCAAAGGGTGCGATGACAATTGCTCGAGGCAAAAAGAGTGGTACTCTTTACAAGACCACAGGAGCATGTCATCTGATTGCAGTTGCAGCAAATGAAAATCCCAATCTATGGCACCAAAGACTTGATCATATGAGTGAAAAGGGGATGAAGATCATTCACTCAAAAGGAAAATTACCAGGCCTCCAGTCAATAGAAATTGACATGTGCGAAGGTTGTATACTTGGAAAGCAGAAGAGAGTCAGCTTTCAAACAAGTAGAAGGACTCCAAAGAAGGAGAAGCTTGAGCTCATCCACTCTGATGTTTGGGGTCCAACGACTGTCCCATCCGTTGGTGGGAAGCAATACTTCGTGACTTTTATCGATGATCACTCCAGAAAGGTATGGGTTTACTTTCTGAAACACAAGTCAGTAGTATTTGAAGCTTTCAAGATTTGAAAAGCTATGGTGGAAAATGAGACAGGCTTGAAGATCAAGAAGTTCAGATCTGACAATGGTGGTGAATACGTAACCACCAGATTCAAGAAGTTTTGCTATGAGCACGGGATCAGAATTGAGAGAACCGTGCCTGGTACGCCTCAACACAATGGTGTAGCTGAGCGTATGAATCGAACGTTGACTGAAAGAGCTAGAAGCTTGCGTGTGCAGTCAGGCCTACCAAAGCAGTTCTGGGCAGAAGCAGTCAACACAGCAGCTTACTTGATCAACCGAAGTCTATCGGTACCACTGGATCACAAGTTGCCAGAAGAGGTATGGAGCGGAAAAGAAGTAAAACTCTCACATCTTAGAGTTTTTGGGTGTGTAGCATATGTGCACATCAGTGATCAAGGTAGAAACAAACTTGATCCAAAATCAAAGAAATGCACTTTCCTTGGTTATGGTGAAGATGAGTTTGGCTACCGCTTATGGGACGATGAAAACAAAAAGATGATCCACAGCAGAGATGTCATTTTTAATGAAAGAATGATGTACAAGGACCGGCATAATACAGGTGCCAGCAACTCAGAAGCGAGTGGGCCAGTTTATGCTGAGGTGGAAAATATCCCAGACAGTCCTATAATGAGGAGTCCTGAGTCAGAGGAATCAAATGAAGAAAGTGATGTGCAATCAAAACCTCCTACTCCAGCTCCTGTATTGAGAAGGTCCTCTCGGCCCCATGTGCCTAACAGAAGATACATGGACTACATGCTGCTGACTGATGGAGGAGAACCTGAAGATTATATGGAAGCTTGTCAAACCACAGATGCTAGCAAGTGGGAGCTTGCCATGAAGGACGAGATGAAGTCCTTGATCTCAAATCAGACATGGGAACTAGTCAAGTTACCTATGGGAAAGAAAGCACTTCACAACAAATGGGTGTATCGGGTGAAGGAAGACCATGATGGTTCCAGGAGACACAAAGCCCGACTTGTTGTCAAAGGATTTCAGCAGAAAGAAGGTGTTGACTATACTGAAATCTTTGCTCCAGTTGTAAAGCTCAATACTTTCAGGACTGTGCTAAGTATTGTGGCTAGTGAAGAGCTCTACCTAGAACAATTAAACGTGAAGACTGCATTTCTTCACGGAGATCTAGATGAAGAGATTTATATGCACTGTTTGTCCCATTTTTGTTACGTTTGTCGTGTTTATTTTATCTTTCTTTTTCCCCCGTTTTAGGCCGTTTATTTAGTTTTTAGTCCATTTCGTGTTTTATTATGTGTTTTCCTTTATTTTGAGTCTTTAGGTGTTTTTCGTTTGTTTTTCCGGTTTTCTTTTGTGTTTTGTCGTTTTTGGTGTGTAGGTCGGGAGCTTCGGGAGAATTTTATCTTCAGAAAAAGTTTGTTTCGAGCGCATATTCTAATAGAGGGGTTCGTTGGTGACGCATAGCAAAAACGGCACTCAATTCCGAGTTCGGACCAGCCCAAAGGAGCCCGAAACGTAAAATTACGCAATGCAGTCCAAAGTCGCGACTCGCGAGAGAAAAGTCGCGACTCGCGAGACCAAAGTCGCGACTCGCGAGACCAAAGTCGCGACTCGCGAGATGAAAGTCGCGACTCGCGAGAAAAACTGAGGCTTAAGGAGCAGTTCCGTGTCGAAGTCACAACTCGCGAGTTGAGGTCGCGACTCGCGACTCGGGTCGCGACTCGCGACTCGGGTCGCGACCAGCCCCAGAATATTAAAAGAATGACGACGCGCGACTCGCGAGGATGTCGCGACTCGCGACCGAGGAGAAGGCAAAGTCGCGACTCGCGACTTAGCCAGCCCTGTTTTTATTTTTGCTCGTTTTTACTCGTTTTAGCTCCGTTTTTCTCGCACTATATATCAAAACGACCCCCCAGACCTAAGGAACAATCCCCAATATCGTTCCTTTCAATTTTCTCTCTAAAAACTCAATATTGTTAGGATAAAATTTCTCCGCTTTTCTTTTTTTTCTCTCATGCTTGGATTGTTGGACACAAAGATATTTGGATTGAAATCTTGCAACTCTTAACCGATTGTAAGTTTTTCAATTCTATTTTATTATTGTTGATTGGTTTTATGTTCTTAATTCTGGTTAACATGAAATTGAATCTAAGCACGAGGTAATCCATTCACCTAGGGTTAGGGATTTTGATTCTTGTTTTGAATTATGAGGAATGTGTTTTGTTCAATCTATACGAGTTGTGTGAATTATATGGTTAGTTGATTGATCACCATTCTAACCTAGTTAATCGACGTTTAGAACCGAGAGGGGAGACGTCGGTCGATTTAGGCTCGTATAGAGTAGACATGTTCGTAAAAGTATTGCCTATGTGTTGCTTGTTTGAATGAATTTATCGTTTATGTTTGTGCTCTTGTTACGAAGAGTTATTGAGCATAGCCCTCTAGACGTGTAGGCTTGTTTAATCTCGTAACCGAACAAATAAGCGTTCAACATAGTTTAAGACTTGATAGATTTCCCGACCCCTAGAACTTCTTCTTTTTCTCTAAAAATTTAATTGTTATTTCTTTAAATTACTTTTCTAGTTCTACCTTGTTTTAGTTAATTCCCCAAATCAATCGTGATTAGAGTGTTTAGGACTTATTTTCTTTTCGTGTGTGATCAAGACCAACGCTAAATTCCGAACTGTCTTCCTCGAGAGATCGACCTGGGGAACGAATCTTTTGATTCGTTACTCGGTAAAAATAAAATAATTTGCTACAACATGCACCAGCCTGAAGGATTTTCAGATGGAAAGAAGGATATGGTGTGCAAATTGAAGAAGAGCATGTACGGCCTGAAACAAGCTCCAAGACAGTGGTATAGGAAGTTTGAAAGCTTCATGCACAAGGAAGGATTCCAGAAGTGCAATGCTAATCACTGTTGCTTCTTTAAGAAGTATGAGTCCAGCTATATCATCTTGCTACTTTATGTTGATGACATGTTAGTAGTGGGATCAGATATAAAGGACATCAGAAAATTAAAGATGCAGTTGTCAAAAGAATTTGACATGAAGGACTTAGGCCCAGCAAAGAAGATTCTTGGAATGCAAATCACGAGAGATAAGCAAAAGGGAGTTTTGCAGTTATCTCAGGCGGAGTACATCAACCGTGTTTTGCAGAGATTTAACATGGATAAGGCTAAGCCGGTTAATACACCTTTGGCCAACCATTTTCGTTTATCCAAGGTTCAGTCTCCTCAAACAAAGGAAGAAGAAGAGTTCATGGCTAAGATTCCTTATGCTTCAGCCATTGGAAGTTTGATGTACGCGATGGTCTGTACGAGGCCAGACATTGGCCATGCAGTGGGAGTTGTGAGCAGATTTATGTCAAAACCAGGAAAAGCTCATTGGGAAGCAGTCAAATGGATCTTGAGATATCTACGGGGCACAACAGAAAAATGTCTGCATTTTAGGAAAGGAGATCTAAAGTTACAAGGCTACGTAGATGCAGACTTTGGAGGTGAAGTTGATCACCGAAGAAGCACCACCGGTTATGTTTTTACTGTCGGAGCTACAGCTGTTAGTTGGATGTCGCGGATACAAAAGATTGTTGCTCTATCCACTACAGAGGCTGAGTATGTAGCAGTGACAGAAGCCAGTAAAGAATTGATATGGCTTCAAGGATTGTTAGCAGAGTTGGGTTTCACTCAAAAAGAGAGTGTCTTGCACAGTGACAGTCAGAGTGCAATACATCTGGCAAAGAACTCAGTGTTTCACTCCAGAACTAAGCACATTGACATACGATATCATTTCATCAGATCTCTGCTTGAGGATGAAGTGTTGACATTAAAGAAGATTGTAGAAAGCAAGAACCCAACAGATATGCTAACGAAGGTGGTGACCATTGACAAACTGAAGTTGTGCTCAACTTCAGTTGGCTTGCTAGAATAACAGACCGGAGAAGACTACTGCAGTAATTGAGGTGTGAGGACAGATTGAAATCAGTCCTTAAGTGGGAGATTGTTAATCCACCAATTTTAAAAAATGAGCCGCCCCAATTGCAGCAACAATGTTGCCATCTTTCGTTGAAAAAGGTAACCAAAATGTGTGAGCACATTTAATTTTGGCTGCGGGATGTATGAATGCATTTAATTTGGCTGCTGAACTTGATTAGCTTTTGCGGACAAATGAGTGCATTCCTCAACTATAAAAGTATAAATAGAGGGGTTCTGATACACATCAAACATACCAACCAGATACAGAGAGAGAGAGAGAGAGAAAAAGAAAGGGAGCAGGAAGCAAAAATTTTAGCTTCTGTGTGTATTTGAGTTGTGAGTTGTGAGTGAGTTCGAGAGTGTTTTGTAAACACGAGTGTATTTCTTTTTCCTAATAAAATATCTGCAGTAGTCCGGAGACGTAGGCATTATTGGTCGAACTCCGTTATCAATTTGGTGTGTCCAATTTTTCTTTTTTATTTCACTTTTATAGATCCGACTTCATAGAAATTTCAGCGTATTTTTCCCCACATCTTCATCAATTTTTCCATGGGTAATGTTCAGCAAATATTTTAAACAATAATAATCAAATTATAAAACTTAGAATCTGAATCAGAGCTACTACTCAGCCATGAGACCAGAGAACCTCTAATATGTCGCGTGAGGTTTTTNGTTGGGTGGTCGTCTGGCTCGACTCGTCGGGCCCGATTTGGTCCAGAACAGCTGCTGGTTGGTCCCGATAGGTTCCGGCCAGAGCCGGTCTTGAAAAATTGTAGGCCCTTGGCCAAATGAACAAATAATGCCCAAATTGTTTTTATTAAAAAAAAATCATAAATAATTTATCATATTACAGAAAAAATAATGAAGATTATAACAAAATTGTAAAATTTTATTTGAAAAAAAAAATTGACAATAAGTAAAGGAAATAAATCATGTTCAGTCCTTGTATATAAAAAAAAGACGATAAAATATAAAACAAGGTTTCAATTTTTTTTTCACATAAATCATATGTTTAATTTTATTGTAATCTCGAATAGTCCACTTTTTTGTTGTAAAAATACTAAATAAATATTGTTTTTAAATATATATATATTTAAATAAACAACAATTTAATTAATTACCAATTATTTAAATATTGTTTTTAAATATATATATATATATATATATAGAGAGAGAGAGAGAGAGAGAGATGGGATCACGTGAGAATGGTAGATAGTGAAAGAAATAAGAATGATTATAAACCATTGGATCGGTACGATCAATGGACATAATTAACGTCAATTTCTGTAACGCCTTTTTATGTCCTAAAATACAAAATATTTTTGTTTTTATTTTGATACTATATATATTTTGGTATTATATAAATACATATTTCTCAACTAATTAAGAATGACTACAAATATCTCTATTTTCTATTGTAGCCATACGATAATTAAAAAAAATGTATATTTTTTTTAATATTACAAAGATACATCAAATAGTTTGAAAAATCAAATCCCATGAAATAAAACTCTTCATTATTCAATATATTTAAAATTTTTAATATTATATGCATAAATATAACTTATGATACTTTATGTTTAAAATTTAATATTATTATAAAACTTATAATTTTACTATTATATGCATATAAATAAATAACTTAGTATTTATTTATATCATTGCAAATGCACAAGATCGAATACTAGTAGTAATAATTAGTGGAACTCTAATAAAATCAGTCGATGCTCATCATATCTTGTTGAGTTTTGCAAGTAGAAAAACAGTTGCAGATGTAATAACAGAGATAAAAACATCATTTGGGATTAATTTTGGCGCCAAACGTAGCTTGAAGAACAAGGCAGTGGCTGGCACTCCAAACAGATAGAATAACAAGTCTTTTGCACCTGTGTTTGTAACTCCTGTGTCAAGAATCACTTCTTTAAGGATCTTTTCAAACTCTTCTTTTCTCAATGTTTTTCCTTTGCACTGGTGATGTTTCTGATAATAAAAGGCAACTATTTTTTAATTTATTTCTTTAATACATTAAGATTAAAAAAAAAGGCAATTAAGTCATTTTTGATTGTTTTGTTTAACAGAATTATTGAATGTTGACTAGGAAGTGAATGTTTTTACTTGGTATGCATGTTGGAGTGTGCTGTTCTGAGGCACCCTAAGTTGAGTGCTCCCTATAGTTTTGTTGATTTCCCTAATGAAGAATGAACAAAATTATAGAAAATTCCATTAAGTAAATAATTAATGCAAATAATAATATAGTACTCATAAAGTTTAAAATACTCTATTGTTAGGCAAATTGCATGGTGGAAATCTGCTGAGCTCCAATCCATGGTGTTCACAAAGTATTTGTGATAGCATTCTTCAAGCACAGGTCCAATTTCTTTATCCTTTTTCTCCTCGTTTCCTATCATATAAAGAAAAAGAAAAGAAAAGAGAAATCGACAAACGTTTGAATCCATACTCAATTCGTGTTTGTGAGTGAGAAGAAGAAATATAACGTACCGGATTTCACGAGAGTCTGTCCCATATTGGCAAGAGAACTTTGAGACAAAATTTTTATCAACAATGTTTTATCCTATACTGATTTTAAGGTTTGATCTATGAGAGAAAGGGGCATATGCAATAGTAAAGGTTATGAGCATCAAGCAAAGCATAAATATTTTGTACCTTCAATTGTTTGATGTGCTTTTGCTTTCAAATGCAAGAGATGTATAGTTGGTAAGAGTAATATTGGTGGCTAAGAAAAGAATCGTACAGTTGTAGTATTTGAGGGATTCAATTATATAACTCCACCTTTTTTCATCCCTGTTTATCAAGCTTGTTGTATTCTCTAATAAATTGCTTTGCCACAATAAAGTTATAAGTCATTTAAGAAGATAAATGAAATGATTCTTGTTATTGAATTGGTTGAAAACCTTTCAATGCCTTTTAAGATGCCAAATGCCAAATAACAAATAGAGTTGTAAACGAGTCGCGCTTGATCTCTTGATACTCAAGTTGAGCCTTTATCGAGCCGACTTGTTAACTAATCGAGCCAATAAATGAGCTCGATTTCGGCTGTGTTTGGTAGATAAATAAGCTAGCTTATAGCTTATTTGGTTAGCTTATAAGCTCCCTATATTCAAATAAGTCTCGTTTGATAAGACGAGTTTTTTTAAAAAGCTCGAGCTTATTTGAAAAGCTTCTTTAGGTAGCTTTTCAAATAAGCTAATTGAATTTTTTTATTCCAGCTAGCTTATCAGCTAATTTTACCAAACACTTTTATCATATAAGCTAGTTTTTCAGCTATAAGTCATAAGCTATAAGCTACAAGCTCAAAAATTACTGATAAGCTATAAGCTAGCTTATCAGCTAGTTTTACCAAACATAGCCTTCAATTCATTTATCAAAATCTATACTTATATTAAAAGGTATACCATTTACTAGATTTAGTATAAAGAAAAGTCAACAACATTTATTGCATTACTATTTCCGTATTATACAATCTATACCAAGATTTTATTTACTATATTTACTATCCAGAAAAATCAACAACATTAAATGTCATTACTATTTTGATATTATAATATTTTATTTATTTAACTAATTTATTTATTTGTTTTATTTTAAAAAGGTAAGTATAATAACAAAATTTAATAATAAAAAAATTAAATACCAAATAAAAATGTACATTTTGACTTATTTGATTATATTTGGTATTTGATTATATAAAATATATTCCTACTTAGTATATACATTAAATACTTACTAAAGTATTTATTTGTTTTATTTGTCAAGTTAAGTACAGATTTATTTATATTATCAAATCATAAAAAAAATATTAAATCCATATTGTAAAAAAAAAAAAAATATATAATTTTATAACAATTCTACTACACTATTTAACAATATTTCTTTTTTATTATATAATAAAATAATAATTAAATATTATATGGTGAACAACAATAAGTAAAACTGTTACTTTCTCTTATATCAAGGGATAAATTTATATGCTAAAATTAAATTTTTATTAGTATAAATGTTTGAGTGAGATAATATATTAATTATTTTACAAGCTAGCCCTAATATGCTCATATTTAATGTTTTAAAAGATGTAGAAAAAAAACTTATAATAATTCTATTGTTTTTTAGACTTAAACGTTGATTAAAAGAGGTAAAAATTTCTAATTTTTTAGACTTAAACGTTGATTAACACCATAGATTGAGAGTTTATATTTAGTAAAATTCTTAATTGTAATAAAAAATTAATTTTTGCTATATTTTAGAATAACTTTAAATTCATTATAAAAAAAAAAAGAAAAAAAAACTACAATGAAAAAAGTAAGTCAGCTATATATCGATTTGTTGTATTTCTCAAATCACAGTCACAATTTGGCTACAAGGAAAGGAAACTCATTGATTAAAATATTATTTTGTCAGTAGTCTTAATATACAAGAGACTTTAAGACTCCACTTGAATATTATAAAACTTGAACATTGTACAATTTTTTGCGTATTATAAACTTTTATTGAATATTGCATCTTATAATATAATATTCTCCAAATAAATATATCTCGTGCTTTGCACTGATCACGTACTATATATATCCCGTATATTTTTCTTTATTCATGTATATAATTATAAGTCTGGATAAATAGCTTTAAAATTGTGCACCCGTGCATCGCACGTCCTTAAAATAGCCTTAATAGCTCTAGCCCATTAGCTGGAAACAGAAATCATGGATTATCCTTTTGTTGGAAATATAGGTTTAATATCCTAAATTGTGAATAAACACAGGTTTAAAGGATAATAATAACAGTCCAAGATTACAAGAAAATAAGATACAGGAATTTCTTCCTACTTTCTGATATAGAAAAACGTGCCATATTATAGGCTTATAGCACCAATAATTGAAGTTCTCCACATATTTTATAATTTATCAAGCTCCGAAAAGTTCTATTTACCTTTGATGCTCTCTATTTAAATATTTTTGTATTTCAAAACGATTTGATTTTTGTTTGACATGGAAAGTAGTTTCAATCAAAAAAGATTCGATTTTTATTTGACTAGAAACTTTCCATAAGCCGCCAAAATTGTGAATTTTTATTTGAAAGCATGGCATAATCTTGTTTGTTTCTCAAATCAGCCACACTTTCACATCACTGAATAAAACAGTATATTTTCCTGTCCTTTTCGAGCTATGCGATCCATTCTTGAAATTTCATTTTAAAGATCTACAGCCACCCGTTTAGCAAGAGCTTGCGGCGGCCCTACGGCGGAGGAAAAACTCGTTTGAAATTCTTTTTCTGCATCTCTCTCGCACTCTGAGTACACAAGCTTGCCCTTTTTTCCGTTTCAAATATTCTGGGCCACCAGGTGCTTGAGAAATGGCGCCTGAGAAGACAGACTCGTCGGAGTATTTTTTTGAGTATGACGGGAACACGGAGGCGGCGGAGGACGGCATTGAGGAGGAAGAAGAGGATGATGACGTCATGACGGTGGGCTCGGCCAACGATGAAGTCGGAGGAGTTTCACGCACTGGCTCTATGGCTTCTCAACAATGGCCTCAGAGTTTTAGGTATACGGGCCTTGGGAAAAGGCGGCATTTTTTTGGTTTTCAGCTAATTCAAAATTGATATTCATGTAAAACGATTTACATAATGAAATGTTCAGCTTGTTTGTGTGAATTGTGAACTACAAGCATTTCTTGTGTTGCCTGTTTCCAATTGGGAGTTGGGGATAATTGAATGTGAACATTGTTTGTTTGATAACTTTTGATTATGTTCGGTGGGGATGATAAAGTAACTTATATTTTCAACCCTTGCATTGCTAATCAAAATTGGGGTGGATTGATTTGTCTCTTCTATAGTCTATACTTTCTTATATGAGTTTCATCGGGTTAATCTTCTGCTTGCCGATTTTTCGTTTCTTTTTTTTTTTTCACCTCCCAAATAGAGGCGTTCTTCACTTATTAAGTTCTTAACTTGCTGCAAAGTATAAAACTTGACTAAATCCCAAGTTTATTGCTATGACTAGGAAGAGTTTTTTTATGGTTCATCATTATCTAGTATAGTGTGAATCATCACTGGCTACTAACAAGTTAGATTTTCTTAGAAATAATTAGTATATTTCACACCTTAATTTTCTTTTTTTTTCAGAGAAACGACCGATTTCTATTCAATAGCTGCCTCGCCAAACTTTGGGACGCTTTTTCGTTCATCAGTTGGTTCTTCGGCAATGATCAACCAAAATGACTTGAATGACCGAATGCCCTTGATTGCTGATCACAAGAGAGGGTATCGTGAAGAACACTTTGAGAGGTTAAAAACACCATCTTTACTGTCCGTTAGTTCTTCTATGCCGACAGGAGAGTTTCCTCTTAGCCACGAATGTAGTTTTGTTCAGACCATATTCAATGGTGAGCTGTCAGATCATGAACTCCTTATATTTTGTAGACAGAACCTAATGTTTAGTTCTTGTACTTTTCAGTTTTTTAAGGTTCTTTTTTGTTCTCTCTCTATATATTTTTAGTTATTTCAGTTTTTTTTTCTTCTAGAATTCTATTTTTTTTCATATTGTGTTGGTATGATGCAGGTGTTAATGTTATGGCCGGTGTTGGGCTGTTGTCCACACCGTACACCGTGAGAGAAGGCGGGTGGGCCAGCTTACTTGTTCTTGTTCTATTTGCTTTTATCTGCTGTTATACAGCTACTCTTATGAAGCAATGCTTCGAGAGCACGGACAGTATACTTACTTTTCCTGATATGGGAGAAGCTGCTTTTGGGAAATGGGGCCGTATTCTTATATCAGTAAGTTTTATACAAGATTTACTTTCTAGTGAAAGTATTTTCATATTATCGACCATTCACTGTCAGCAAAGAAAAATTATGTTTTTGAGGAAGTTGTGTATCTTTTGTTTTTTTGGGCAGAACATGCATGATCAATGTTGGAAAATTAAGCAGCAATTCTCTGATACCACCATTTATTTTTTATTTTTTTGTTGCAGATCATATTGTATTCGGAACTATACGTAAGCACATCATTTTTTATCCTTTCTTTAGCAAAACAGTTCCCTTTATTATTCAACACTTTGTTCGGATTTTCTCACTCAACTCACCGATTTATGCAGACATCTTGCGTAGAATTTATCATCTTGGAAGGTGATAATCTGACTCGAATATTTCCAGGAGCATCTTTAACTGTATTCGGCTACCATCTCGATTCCGTTCATCTATTCGCAATTATCGCCACTCTCGTCATTTTACCAACCGTTTTGCTGAAAGACCTTCGCTTGATTTCTTACATTTCAGGCAAATCTTCTTCATTATTTTTAATATAATTTTTTTTTCAATGTTTTTTTTTTCAAAATTATTGTTCTGAGTGTACTTTTTCTGATTTGGCAGCAAGCGGAGTCCTTGCAACAATCGTGGTAGTTTTATGTTTATTATTTGTTGGCACTAACGGTGGAGTTGGATTTCACCATAGCAGTAAATTTATATATTACAAAGGTATTCCTTTCGCCATCGGTATATATGGATACTGCTACTCGGGCCACTCGGTGTTTCCAAATATTTACCAATCGATGGCCGATAAAACACAGTTCACCAAAGCAATAATAATATGGTACACAACTCAACTACACAAGCTATGGCCTTTTTCAAAAAAAATTGCTCAACAGTGCATTTTGTATGTATATAGGCATAATATCTATTTGTTTGTTTTCCCTGCAGTTTTCTTATATGTGTTGGGCTTTATGGTGGGGCGGCAATCATGGGATTTCTCATGTTTGGTCAAAGCACAGAGTCACAAATTACTCTGAATCTACCGCCACATACTGTCGGTTCGAAAGTTGCATTATGGACAACAGTGAGTATATTATTTTAAAATATTTGAATATTTTATATAATCATATGTGTATTAACTATTAACTTCTTGCTTCGTCTTTTTACAGGTTATCACCCCGCTGACCAAATATCCTTGAGATTTACTTTCGTTTAACATTAACATAATGCGACTTTATATAATTTGCATTCGATATTATTATCTTTTGTTTTTTTTTTCCTTAGCTGTAAATAAGTATGCCCTGCTAATGAATCCACTTGCGAGAAGCATGGAGGAGCTTCTGCCTCAAAGATGGTCCAATAGCGACTGGTCTTTTGTTCTTATAAGGATAGCGCTCGTCATTTCTTCTCTTTTTGTCGCATTTGTAATTCCCTTTTTCGGTAGGTTTTGCCATTTTTTGACATATTTACTAATATTTTTGTGAGATTCTAAACATACGATATTCTTATGCTATTTCTTCTCTTTTTGTCGCATTTATCATTCCCTTTTTCGGTAGGTTTTTTTCCATTTTTGACATATTTACGACTTTTTTTGTGAGATTCTAACTAGACATGCGATTTTCTTATGCTTTTATGATTTGATTAATATTCGACTTAAAAAACTTTTCCAATGCAGGAACTGTCATGTCTCTAATCGGTTCTCTTTTCAGTGTTCTTATGGTAAGCAATAATGTTGTGGTCGTGGGGCTGTATATGATAAACTATTTCATCATTCAAACGAATAAATATGAAAATTTAACGACATCAAAGTATCTTATATTTCCATCTGTCATTTTAAATCCAGGCTGTAATAATGCCAGCATTATGCTTCTTGAGAATTTTGGGAAAGAGTGCCACGTCAACACAGGTAACTACACCTAAATTAAAGAGCTCTTTAATATACATGCTCTCGTGCGCTTTTTTCTCCGAATAGTGCTCTGCTTTTCAATTCAAATCAAAAGGAGATGGATAACTCGAGGCAAAAGTGCCCTTTCTTTGAATGTTAACTAAAATGTCCCGGTTTTCTTGCTAAATGAAGTACTCTTATTAAATTCTTACCTTTAGAAGACGACAATGAAGATGAATCTAATGTCCCGGTTTGCTTATGCAGGTTGTGTTGAGTACTATAATCGTTGTGTTGGGTGCAATAAGTGCAGTTTTGGGGACTTACAACTCGTTCGCAGAACTTGCCAAGCAGTACTGATATACAAACGTGAAAATTTCGACTCGAGTTTAGTTTTTGCAAGAAATTTTTTTTTTTTTCTGTTTCTTTTTACTCAGTTTTCAGCCTTTCGACAGAGCCTCAAAGGCTAGTAACTTGTGTAGTTGCTTGGATTTTGTACCATATACAACATGTTAAAAAACATTTTTTTGTTGATGATCAAATTTAGTTCTAGTTTGATTTTAGCTCTCTTTTAAGCACTGAATTTTGTTGCATTTTGGTCTTGTGTTAAGCTGTTGCCACAAACTTTCTGTAGCCAAAATCAAGTAAAATCTCCCCAACAATATTCTCATAAATCAAAAGGTCCTTCAAAATTTAATCCAATCTTCACTAATTGTTGTTACAATTGATAAATTCCTTAAAAAGTATGACAAATTTAACAGAAATCTATCATCTAACCAAAAGTTATTCATTCCAAAAAAATCCTATGACATTCATCTTTGCTTATGCTTTCCATATATCTTTACATGATATACATTTGCGATAAATGACGATAAATTATGGTGAAAAGATTTAACTTAACCATTGTTCGTTTGAGTTTCGACCTATCGCTCGTGTTTAACACGCGCCTTTAATATTCCGGGTAGAGTTAAACTTGGCCTCGAAAAACAATTCGCTTGAGATTGGTACATGTTGGCCATGCTCGAGCTTTCGCTTTTAATATTTTGTGGGTTTTTTCCACCAAATTTCATCGCCTTCAGAACGTAATTATCATCGTGAAGCTCAAAAGGTGTGCTGCAGTTTGAGAGATAAATAAGCGAATGTGTTACAAATACGTATCGAAATATCACTCCACAATTTTTACCCGTTTGATATTTGTATTTGTTGGACTTTTTCTCGTAAAAAAATTTTATTTAAGCAAATCGCTTACCTATTAAAATCAAAATGCACAAGCTGCATATCTTCTGATATTTCCACTTCCACCGTGGCATGAGGGCGTGTCTAAAATTACATAAAACATGTTAACTCGAGCGTGAGAATTAATTTCGAAAAAAACCTCATTTCAAGCCAACTTTACCTGAACCAATATGAAAGGCAATGCAACTCCACCATTTGGAGCATTTTCCGAGCCATGCAATTGCTTGTTGCGCTGTATGAGGTTTTGAAGACCAATGTACTGCAGCAAAAAGCATAGAGTCGACAGATAATTTATACGAATAAACTAAACTATACGTCAAAAAACTACAAATACCCATTCTGTTACTATTTAACAATGTAAAACCTTTGATAAGAAGATAAATGATGGGTTTTATAGTTCTTACTTGTTCCTCGAGCTCTTCTAGATAAGCTGCTTTCTTCTCGATGCTATTTTGAAGTCCAAGACGTTCAGCCTGCAAGAAATTTACATATAAACCAAGGATTAAATTAAATGACGTGAATAAACCTATTTGGAATACTGACAATTACGTGTAGCGACAGAATAGAAAATAAGGGGCATAAATGATAAAAATCTGACCTTAAATTCTTCAACGTCATCCACACTAGTCCTCGGAAGACCCTTCCACTGTATTTCCTTTTTATCTTTAGAGATAATATCCATAGCCATTAGCACGTTTAGAGCATCATATACTCTCCGGCGTATGTTTTTCTCTTCATACTGGTGCTGTTTTGTATTTATTTATTAGACAAAAATCAAATTTTGTAACTCGAATATTAAGATCTCGCAGCAACTGCATGAATGAATGGATACTTTTTTTGGATAACACAAAAAAGAAAAAAAAAAAAAAAAACTGGTCGGGTGATGAAAGACTATTGGTAGGTTCAGTGAATTCAGCAACAAGTTCATCAGCCACCTGAAAAGACATAATTCATGTCCAATTTATACGATAAAAAAAATGGACTTTAGCTTTACTTCAAAGGTGTTCTCGGTATGAGACGGACAAACAAAGTGAATACGAATATCTCTCAATGCAATTGAGATGAATATGCGAAAATAATTCAACGTATAAGAGTAGGTCAGTTTGTAGTACGGATTGTTGCTATAATGGACAATAAAAAAACTGACATATAATCGACAAATCATATAAAAATGGAAGGAAATAAAGAAAGAGGAATTTGAAGTAAAAAAGTCGAATATAAGGTCTACGTGTGGCCATATTAACAGTCAAATATAATCCACGAATCACATAATCCACACATATAGCATTCACATTCAAATATAAGATCTACATGTGGCCATATTAACAATGCTTTAGCAAATTAGAGTGATTTTGGAAAAATCGAATCATTAGTAAAAGAATGTATACGAAATGTATATCCAAATTCAAGAATAAAGATCTAACCTCATTATATGTAGTTCTCCCTTTGCTTTCTACTTTCTCACAGACTGTCCAGACAAAAGAAGAATAGGTTAATAACTAAGACAATATTACCATCAATGGGTAGTTCATTAAAAGATTAAAAGTTCCAACAATACCATAGAAAAACAACAGGATAGTTTTAGAAGGAAAACACGAGTCGAGAGAAGTTAATCAGATTACAAAGATATTGCACGAGTCAAAGCCACGACATACAATAAAACACACGTCCTCATTACAGAAAAAAAAACACGATGAGATTTTGAGAAATAAAATAATATAAAATAAAGAAAAAGGTACCTTTCATGCTAAATTGACGAAGCCCTCGACCATTTTTATCTCCTCCAGCTGCTCGTTGTCCTCTCTTCTTCCTTCTGTTGCTACTAAGACAAAACGACAAGAGAATGCCTTTGAATTTCAATAACCGAACATAAGGATAACCTTTGATCAGACAAAGTACAACATGTTTATATCAAAAAACGCCTACAAAACCCATGAACTAAATAAGTATATCATCATAATATAACATGTTGCACAATTCACAAAATGACTCCAATCTATCTCGACCGGGAGTGTACAAATATATCTCCATTACTAACAATCAATTAACATCGACCCTTATCAACACAATCCACCAGAACAAAACTAAAGCAACTTCACCTTCCAAATTACACTTATTCACAGAAATTTTAAAAACCAATTATTCGAATAAACATGAAAAAAATTGAAAAAACGGCTCGAAGGGCTTACTCAGGAGTCTCCTGAGATCCATTATCATCCCCTTTGATATCAAGATTGTTTAACAAGAGAAATGTGTTTTCCCCAGCTGTAGCTGTGGCCTCACTCCGGCTAGATGGCGATCCAACACTGCCGCTAGTGGACATGGACTGACCGGAAACGGCGGAGGTCCATGACCTGGTGGATCCGCCGCCGCCGGCGGCGGCGGTGGCAATCGGCAGGTTCTTATTATTGCTGATGTTCACCATTTCCAAAATAAAGGGCAAAGCTGGGATTTTTAATAGAGCTCCCCAAAAGGTATGAACAGCTCAAGAAACAGGAGCTGACAACAGAATCACTAGAAATGGTGGACAAAACGAGTGATACAAGCGAATTTATAGAAGTAACCGAATACCAAAAGAGAAAATCCACGAACCAAAGAAATAGAAAAAAGGAAAATTCAACGAAAAGGCAAAACTCAATTCATGAAAATCTTCTAAAACTGAGATATCAGATTCCTTGGTGGTGTCGTGGATGATAAAAAATCGGGACTTTTGTAGAAAAATGGTAAATCAGCTGTCAACAGGCCAAATTTTATTAAATATTTTACACTTAGGATTTTCTTCAAGCAAGATAGGGGCCGGTGAGCAGTCAAAAGAAAAGGCTTGTGAAGCTTTTGTTAAGCTCTGTTAATGGCGGAAGCTCTTGTTAGTGTTTGCGTGAGGGAAGCCTGGGAAGGCATTAGAGAGAGGGAAAATAAACCAATCTCCAAATTCTTGAGGGTTTTCTCAATTTTAAATTATTTATTTAATTAATTGATTTACCATTTGCAAATTCAGAAATTTTTTTATGGTCAACGAGCTAATTCAAGCTTATCTTTTAAATGTGGGGATTTGATTTTTATATACTAAAATCACAAAGAAAAATTGTGGATGGATTATGTGATGTTTAATATATTATCTCATTTACATATATTTTTCCATAAATCTTGTAGTATCTATCTACTTTAATATATTTCATCACTCATATTATTAGAATATAATTTTTACTACTACAACACCCGTGTATTACATAGGTGCTTGTTGAAAATTTTATTGTTAAATTTTAAAATTAATAATAAAAGGTGTTTTAAAATTTAAATATTTTTTATAAAAAATATATATTATTATATATTTTAGAACGACACTTGTTACTTGTGCGACTTACCTGTTTTATATTATAATAATTTTTCTAACTTATACAATAATTACTTTAAACATAAATATATTAATTGAAAAATAATTTTATTTTTTAACTAATTTTAATAAGATAAACAATTTTATTTTTATAATTAATATTAATAAATAATTTTACTATTATCCAAAGATATAAATATAATTTATTATTTTATACATACAATATGGATGTCCCATTGAAGCTCATCATGAAATGATTAATTTAATATATTGCATATGTAATACAAATAAAAAAACATAAAATTTATTAACATTTAAAATACATTTACAATTCAATGGTTATAATATAAAATAATATTAAAATGCAATTAATACATCTAAAATGACCATAAATAATCAACATATTTATGAATAGCCTCAATCTAATTATTTTTTGATTTGAAGTAAATTAAAATATATCAAAGCTAAATAATGAAACATGTAGGATCTCGAAAGATGTGAATCTTCCACTTAGACTTTCAGTACATTCGGGAATTATATATAAGAGGGATATCGAATTTAATTTAAACCTATCGTAATATGCTTATTTTTCAAAATTAATCGAAAAAATCCATTTTGAGCGAATTTATTTGTCCAACTCTTTCAAAATCAAAATGCCCTAAACATTTTTGAGCGAATTCATTTTTAACCAAGAATGCCCTAAACATCACACATGTCTGCATTGTAGTTTGAGGATCAGTAAATCAAAATGTTATTGCTAATGGAACCAGTAGTTATTTCCGTTGATCTTTTATTTATACTTTCTCAATTTTTTTTATGGCTAAAATTAACCTATAGTTGAATCGAAAAAATAAAAAATAAATGGTTTGAAACCAATCCTGCTTCGGTTGACAGTTTCATTTTTTGAAATTTCAATTAACGATTGGTAATTTAGGGAATGCCATAAAAATATCCTTAAATAATGCAAGATCCAAAGCAAAAAAAGATTTGAATCCAAAACAAACAAAAGAAGAGTGCCCACTTTTTATCATAATGCAAACAATAACAAAAGGTAAAAGAAACGAAATTTTGCATAGCATAAATTCCCCGATAATCAATATTAAAAAAGTATGACAATTGACAGAGAGTATAATCACTTGACTGCATCCAACCACTCCAAACTAGTCTTTTAATTCTGTAAAAACCAATATCGCAAACAAGATTGTATACAAAAACCGCATCCATTTTATCCCTAGCTCTCATGGCCAACAACTCCGAATACTTCACCCACAACACCGGGATCAAAAATCTTCAAGTACATAACCCAACAGTTTGAATCTTCCCCTGTGAACCTCTAACGATAATTCAGCCTTCTTTCTCCATTCCCCTGTGATTTAGATCAGTTAGAGACTCAAAATTTCTCACTATAGTCAGTTAGCTACATAGACACATGAACCAACAAACTAACCAACAAAAGATGATATACGAAAAGGGAATAACAGAGGAAGGAGAGATCTTGTTGTATTCAAGACGTTATAGTTATTCATTCGCTCAGAACATCTATGCATAAAACCAGATACACTTAATAATTGACATTTCCCAGATCACATAAATAACCTTTATAACTTATCACAATTTCAGAATCACACTTTAGTTACTAATGCTAACTCAAATACTAGTGATGGATGATATTCTAGTCTGTAATACTAACTAGTTCTACCGAAACATTCATGCTGCTACAAGTGTAGAGGAGTTGGTTCAGGGTGCAATGCTGCTACCTATCAGCAGATAAACAAAAGCCAAATAATGCAAATCAGTGACAGCACAACACTTGAAACCATTACATTCTCACAGACCATCCTGTAAGTAATATACTAGGAGACTTTACACGACTACGCCAAAAAATAAATTTCCAGCATCAAATTAGCATTTTCGTTTTTATTTAAGATTCACAACCAGCTTTCTCAAAGAAGAGAGGCACAGAAAACTATGCATGGACAAGAACATAAGCACCTCATGGATTTAAATCAGTTATAGAACCAACATTTCTCCCTAGTCAGTTAGCTACATAGACACATGAACCAGCAAACTAACCAACAAAAGATGATAAAATAAAAAAACAAAAGAAAAAGAAAAGGGAATAACAGAGGAAGGAGATAAATTTTAATTCGAGAAGTTAGCGTTATTCATTCGATCATAACATCTATACATACATAAAACTAGGTAGTTTCCCCCAGTAGGATCAGACTATCTGCATTTCATGTCTCTTAATAATTGACATTTTGCAGATCACTCAAATAACCTTTATAACTTATCACAATTTTTGAATTACACTTTAGTTACTAATGCTAACTCAAATACTAGCGAGGGATGATATTTTAGTCTGTATTACTAACTAGTTCTAACGAAACATTCATGCTGCTACAAGTGTAGAGGAGTTGGTACATGGTGCTATGCTGTGAGATATCGCCTATCAGCAGATAAACAAAAGCCAAATAATGCAAATCAGTGACAAAACAACACTTGAAACCATTACATTCACAGAGACCAAGACAATCCTGTAAGTAATATACTAAGAGACTTTACATGACTACACCAAAAAATATATTCCCACCATCAAATTAGCATTTTCAATTTTATTTAAGATTCACAATCAGCTTTACGAAAAAAGAGAGGCATAGAAAACTAGGCATGGACAAGAACATAAGCACCTCATGAATTTCACAGAACCAAGTTGAATTGAGCTGAGAGGTCATGGTCATCCTGCAAAATAACAAGGAGAAGTATTAATTCATATAAAGTATGAACCAAATATGAACCTAATACATGAACACACTATTAGTATTACATATAGCACGACTAAGAAGATAAAAAATGACAAAATGTTGACCTTACTCCCCTTCTTCTTCCTGCCCTTGCTCCCCTTTCCCCCATTCTTCTTCTTCTGTTCCTTAGTCGAGGTATCTGCCACAGCTTTCCTCCTGTCCCAGAAGTGAGGTGAAATCAACGTCTCCACAATCAGCCTCGGCCACACTATGAACGGCAAAGCAATGTCTTGGACGCTTAAGCGGTTTTTCAAGCCGAAATACGCAAATTGTGTGCCCCGGTAATTGACGAGAATCTTCTCCCCATCCTTGGAGAGAGCAAGAGGCCACATGGGCCCCTGTGTGTTCGGGATCGAGAATATCACCTGCCACGACTCTGCCACCCCGTAATCCTTCATCACCCAAATCACAACATTTGACGCATACACACATGCCAGTGCTAACATCGTCCCGTCGAATAGCTCGAGCGTCAAATGAGGACGCTCAATATCGTAATCAAACTGGGGCAACGGCAACTCGAAATTCGTCTCTGTCACGATGTTGAAGCCCATCAGCTTCACGCCATCATTGCCAGCAAGTGCATGCAGGGCGCCTCTGAAGGGGACTGGCCAGTGTCCCATCTGGTATTTCATGGCCTTTGTTTTCCTCCATGAATCCGACTTCAGGCTGTAAATCCACTCCTCGGACAATGGCCGTTTTTTGTGCCACATGACCTTGACGACCTTATAGTCGTCATTCTCCTCATCATAGGCAAATCCGTACATGTTCTCACAGGCATTGGCCAATCTGGGCGCCAATTTAACATGGCATCTGGGGAGAACCTTGTGCTCTCTGGCGAAGACGTTCCACAAAATCGGAGGCTCGGTCTCTCTCGTCACCACGATTAAACCATTGACGGATCTCGAGATGGAGTCCACGTCCTTGTTGTTGTAGTCGAACGGTGGGTCCATATCCGTCGGGGTGCTGAGAGACTCGAGGTTCATCGAGTGAAAGCCAAAAATGCCGGTGATGATGCTCCGGTTGGAGTTGGAAGCCAGAGAGCTGTGAAAGTGTGCCTTGGCGAAGCTCTCGCTGTCGATCAGTGCACGCCACGATTTGTCGACGGCACGGAAGCGCTTGAGGGTCTTCACCGGGAGGCGGCAGAGGATGTTTTCGGCGATGTCGAGCGGTAGCCGGGGATGCTCGTCGGGGAGCTGGATGACGATGGATTCTGGGGATATATCGGACATTTTGAACGAGAGAATTTCAAAATGTGCAGGTTCGCCGGCCGCTGAAGAACCCGACTTCCGGCTTCGCGCTCTCTTCTCCGGCAGGACCGCCGACGGCTCGCGATTGAACAAGAATGGCCGCTGATGTTTGTTGATGAAATGTTCGATCTTACTACTCAATCGCTCGACGGTAATGGACTGCTCGATCGGCTGCTGCTCGTTATCTCCTCCCGCGTACACACACACGGACGGCGATGGTGGAGAAGACGATTGAAGGGCTGGAATTATCGGCGATTGAAATCCTCTCCAGAAGCTCGTTTTTTTTTCGAACGATGAGGAAGCTCTGTTTCAGGTTGGGGGTTTTGTGAATTTTACTAGGGTTTAAAAGGGGAGTTATAATTTTGGAGTGGATGTGCAGATGGTGGGCGTTGCGGATAAGGTGTGGGGATGGTGAACTTTTTTTTTACAGTCCCCCAACTTTTTCGGATTTCTTGTTTCAAGTCCTTTTATTGCGTATATTTTCAACTCTGCTCTTAGCATTAGGTCATTGAGTTTTAAGTTTTTTTTTTAACAAATTCAAAAAAGAAAAAAAAAATAATAATAAATAAAAAATAAAAAAAAAATTGTTGCAAAAGAAAATAATAGAAGCATCTTGCTATTGAATCCTTAATCCACAAATCATCTCCAGGTTTAGTTCCTAAGTTGTATTTTCCTCTTCACATTCAAAAACAATTTTTTTGTCCTCCCAACTAGCCACATATATTTGCAATTAATATCAACTATTAATTTAATTGATAAATCATAAAAATTTTGAAAAGGGAGAACTTGTCCTCGAGTCTAGGGGTGGGATTTATACCCGAGAACCGGAGAACCGAACCGGATCGAACCGAGTGTATATGTATTAACCGAGTGTATATGTATTAACCGAGGAACCGGTTATATATGTGAAAATATGCATGTTTTATATATTTATATGTATGAATCGGTTCCGGTTCTTGTATTTAATATTCGGTTCTTCATTTTTGCATTCGGTTCTCGGTTTTTCATGATATATTTAGTTCGTGAGTTGCATTTTTTTGATCGGTTCTTGACTCAAAACCGGTTATTGTCGGTTATTTTTTATCATTCGGTTACCCGAATACCCAGAAAAACCGAACCGTTATAAACCGGTTCAGTTCTTTTTCGATTCCTGCAATTATTTATGTGTTAACCGAACCGGTTTTTTTGGTTCGGTTCCGGTTCCGGTTCTTGAAAAAAATGATAAGAACCGGACCGGTCCCAGGCCTACTCGAGTCTCGTCCCACATCTGCTTTTCCTTTTGTACAACCTCACCATCTTTGTCGCATGTGACTGACCCAAAATTTACATCGGAATTCCCTTACGCCGACTTGCCCAAAATGATTTTTCCCCAATTATAGCTTGCTGTCTCCATCAAGTTTGGTCTGTCTCGTTCACAACATTCCCTCTCAGTCAAACAACAAATGGCGGGCTCTAAATTTAATTCTCGATCTAAAAAACCATCTTCCTCTACCTCAAAACCAACAAATAAGGCTAGTTTAGCTTATCATGGCTTTTTTTAAAATTGTGGTAATGAACTTCAAATTTAATTTGTATTTCATCAATTACGGGTTTTTTTTTTATATAAATTGGGGTTCCTTAAATTAAAAGAGAAATCTATAGTTTGTCATTTCCAATTGAGTTTGGAGTTGTTTTTTATTTTTTTTTTTTTTATTTTTTTTATTTTTTTAACAAGTTGCAAAAGAACATAAGGAGGAGAATAAAATAGAAAATGAAAGTGTTGGGAATTTCACTTTTAGACTATCCATTTTTAATTTTTTTTCTGAAACAATAAAACCATATATTGAACTCAGGAAATAGTGCACCCGAGTTACCAACTGATTACACAAATAATATCAACTAACATTAGTTGGTAATCAAGCCCTAAGGGTAGCCCAACAACACCCAAACTAAGGACCTAAGGACCTAACTCATGTGTAAGTATTTGAAGGTTGGCATTAAATCGACAAACTCCAACAAAACTTGGAACCTACATTGGATTCTAGAAGTGTACGAGATTATAAAGGGAAGTTTTTTTATTATTATTATCTTGATCTATATTATTCCATTGATTTTATTAGTTGACCTTAAGATTGTTATATCTACAGGAGATCAAGAAGGATTACGCAAGAGCAACCGCACATGAATAAAAGGAAGAGGCACACTTAGCATGCATAGGAGTCAAAGTGCGTAGAGGAACTTACCTTATATGACATCGGAGTATCACGAGAAGAACTTACCGTACTTGAGATGACTTGCGAGTGAGAGAAGAGATCGTGAAGAGCAAGTCAAGGGATTTTTTTAAGTAGTTTAGCGGAATTCTGATATATCCTCCCAATTTTTCAACCTGCTAACACACACCTAACTAAACAATCGAACCAACAACAGATACACATGAAGAAAATAAACAAACAACAGAATAGATGTCCAAGGCTAAAAAATTCAGCTCCAAATCAAAGATCAATCTATGACCTTCAATTTGAAATTATACATATTTGTTGAAAAATTAACTATTTCTACTGTTTCTTAGAGCACGGCATTCAATTTTAAATTATGCATATATGATGAAAAAAGTAAATATGTATGCCTAGAGTTATGTTTGACGGTTTATGTACGCCTAACAGAAATTTTAATATTGACTTATTGTGCATATGTGATAGGGATTATGATACTCACTTGGTCTAACGGGATAAAGACCCGTGAATGGGTCGAACAAGGGAGCGGTCGAACATGGACCGGTCGAATAAGACCAAAAGGTTCCATGGGTCGAACATGGACCGGTCAAACATAGGAGTGGTCGAACATAGACCAAGGGCCAATATCGTACATCTCGTCCATGGGCCTAACACGGAGTGGTCGAATATAGACCAAAGGCCAAAGGGGCGTCGACCCACGCAGGTGGTCGAGCTTAGACCCGGAAGTCGACCCATATGCATTGACATCGAGCAAGGAGGTAATCCGTATAGTTAAATACTATATATACATTGAATCCCAAAGAAGAAGGTAATACATCATTTATTACTACCACTGTTACATTCAATACACATTAACTCTCTTATTCCGAAATATTGACTTGAGCGTCGGAGGGTCTTACGCAGGAGCAATTCCGGCGTATTTGCAGGTACCGGCGAACACTCAAGCTTGGACCGGACCGAATTAAGCGCGTTCACGCCGCAATCGTGAAGAACCCTTTGAAAGACCGGAGTCACTCATCTCGGACCGTATCAATATGAATTATTAATTTACACAAATTATTATATGAAGCGGCCAATGGGGTAGGGAGCAGGGGCAGACGGACATACATTATAGGGAGGGCCACGGTCCACCTAAACTTTTTTTTTTTCACCTAAGTATATATCTATTATATTAGATTAAGTATATTTATTTATTATTGTTCCCCTAACCAATTAATGCGACATCAACAAAACCCATAAAGTCCAACTCCACCTTTTATATTATATTATATTATATTATTTATTTATTAATGAAACAAATTATTTAACTAACTTAAAAAATTGCCTCAGCAACTCAAGAGTCCAGCGTTAGCGAGACAGCAAGCTAAAAAAAATCGCAGCAACAATTACTTAAGTATTTTGATCATCCTTTTATATTTGATTATGAAAAAGATTTACTGCAAGTTCAATTACGACATTATGAGATTGATGTTCTCAAGCATCCAGAATTTCAAAATTTGTACATTATCTCTGATTTGTGCAATGGATGGCGAAAAGTAGAAAGTCTATGATATAACCGTTGATTGATAGATTAATAAGGTTGATTCTTACTCTTCCTATGTCTACCGCGACCACAGAGCGTGCATTTTTCGCTATGACTATCGTTAAATTCAAACTTCGAAATAAAATGAAAGATGACTTTCTTGTAAATTATTTGACTATCTTTGTTGAAAGAGAAATTGCAAGATCTATTACTACCGAGTCAATCTTCGATGAGTTTCGTGACTCGAGAGAACGTCGAGCACAATTCTAATAGTCACAATGTTTGAACAATATGTATTTTTTGAATTACTTTTTGTCTTTTTCTATTCTAAAAATGCAACTTTGTCTTTTTTAATGAAATATGTCATTATTGAAAATTATTTCGTCCCCCCAAATAAATTTTATAGATCCGCCCCTGGTAGGGAGGTCGACCTGACATCTTTATTTTGTGAATTGACATGTTTTTTTAACAAAATAGATACTTATACTATTAAATATCATATTTTTATTTATGTTGTTTTTTATGATGATATCCCAGTTTAAAAGCATCTATATATATTGAAAAAAAATACAAATTGTCATGAATTATGAACTATTGAGTTCTCATATAATTATTGGCACCCTTAGTTTTGAAATCTATAGAACCATCGGATGGTTCCCTTATGGAGCCATCCGTAACGTTAGGTATTGACACGTGTCCAATGTGCATTTATTGCAGGACACGTGTCAATACACCATTTGTGGATAACTATGGATGGCTCCATAGCAAAACCGTTTGAAATATTATACTCTCCTATAATATAATTTCCATACTAGCACCCTCAAAATCCATTTTTCTTCAAAATGTAATCTTCCCTAATGGGTAAAAAAAAGGAAAAGAATCTCAAATTCGATTTTTACCCTTTTTCTCTAAATTTAAACAACATTTACCCCAAATTTGAAATTCCCAATTGACATTTGATACTATATTTTATATTATTATTAATTTATTATTTATTAAAATATAATTATATAAACCAAGTTTACGGGCAAAAATCATAGTACACACACATTACGGCTGACTCGTTCCCTAGCGCCCTCATTGCCTTCAAAGGCTTGCCCTTTTTCCGCCATAGCCACACACATCATAAAAGCTTACAGCTCAAAATCCCATCTTCTCAATCTCTGTCAGAAAGCATCGATCGAAACCCATCAATGGCTGCGAATCCAGTTGCCCCAGGGAGGTCCGCGTCGGACTACAGCGAACTTCAGGCCAGCCGCCTCGCGGTCTCTCTCCCGCTGCCGGAGGTTCTCCGGAAATCGTTCAAAGTCGTCGACGGCCCGCCGAGCTCCGCCGCGGGAAACCCAGGTTCGACCCGTTTATCGATTTTCTTACTCGTTCGATTCCTCCCCACGTTGTGGTGCATGTGGTGATGCACAGTCCCTGAGATCAGTGAATAAATCTTCGACTGATTCGTGGGATTTGAGTTTTATGAATTGCAAGTGAGTTTAGAATCACGAGACTTGTTGTGCAAGAAATCTTAGAACAAGCAAAATTTGTTCCTAGCGTTCTGTTCTTTTTCTATTTTTGATTTGTTTTAGCTTTTGTTGGTTGTTAGCACTTAAAATTCACAAGACTCCGTTGGATTGCATGTAAACTTGTCTAAAAGGCATACTAACTGAGCAATAACTTACATGCATGTCATAAAAATGTTAACTTTACAAGATCCAATTGATAAATTTCATAATTCTGAAGTTGGAAAGATTTCATATTGTTATGAAATTAGTGGGGAAATAGGTAAAAGAAATGAAGTGCAGCTGATTTGTATGTATTATGATTGTCAATAGATGAAATTGCAAAGCTTTTTCCGAGTCTCTTCGGACAACCATCGGCAATGCTTGTTCCCAGTGATGCATCTACAGCTATTCCCGATAAAAGCTTGAAAATTGGAGTTGTTCTTTCTGGAGGACAAGCTCCTGGTGGGCATAATGTAATATCGGGACTCTTTGGTGAGCTCTATAGTTTCGACTTGGATCATAAATTTTTCACCTTTACATTTTTTATTGAATTTTCTGTGATGGTTTTTTTTTTTCTTTTCTTTTTCATCAGACTATTTACAGGAAAGAACAAAAGGAAGCACCTTGTTTGGTTTTAGGGGTGGTCCAGCTGGGGTCATGAAGTGTAAATATGTTGAATTGACAAAGGACTTCGTTCATCCATACAGGAACCAAGTTAGATTTCTCCTTTGTTTTTCGGCTTGTAAAATTTTGACGGAAAACAAATTTTGGTGGATAAGTTTTTCCTAGATGACTGATTCCGTCAAATCTTGCAATTTTTTTCCTTATCACATGATGATAGTTCGATAAATATCATGATCTTGTTTATCTTTAGATGAACTACTATTATTATTATAGCTCTTGTTTTGTTCTATCGTCATGCTATCTCTAGATTTTATTTTTACATTTTGATGTCAAAGTGAATCATATTGATGCATATTTATGAAAAGGCTTGAAATTTTAGTTGGAGATTGGAACATGTTTATAAAGTTCTATATTGCACGAAAAATATTTTATTCACTGAAAAGTTATAATAGTTCATTCACCTTCTATTGGCATTGCTATTGCTATTACTTTCATTTCATTATTTTAATTTAGCCATTCATGAATTTGAATTTCTTACAGGGTGGCTTTGACATGATCTGTAGTGGGAGAGACAAGATAGAGACCCCTGAACAAGTAAGTTATAATTATTTCATACTTTCTGTTTATCCATCTTCATGGTACCTTCATGATGCAAGTAAAAGTTAGCTTTATATTTATTATTTTATTTTATCCCGTTCAAGCCACCAGACCAGAAAATGCATTTGTCCTTAACGATTTATCCTGTTGTGTCATATTCTTTTGTTCGTAATCGATTTCTCAGTGGGTAATTTGTTTTTTTATATAGTAACTTATGTTATATTATGTGGGGCTTCAGTTCAAGCAGGGTGAAGAGACAGCAAAGAAGCTCGATTTAGATGGACTTGTCGTCATAGGAGGAGATGATTCCAACACTAATGCATGTCTTCTTGCAGAGAATTTTAGGTAAAAGTTTTTTCTTATCTGATCTTTAAACTTCCGTTTAAATCCTTTCCTCTTTGCCTAAATATTTTAATGGTTGCGCATTTTTTTTCAGGGCAAAAAACATGAAAACCAAAGTCATTGGATGCCCCAAAACTATTGATGGTGACCTAAAATCCAAAGAAGTGCCAATAAGTTTTGGATTCGACACAGCTTGCAAGGTGCCAATCTTGCTGTAGTTATTTATTATTAACATGCAGTGAAATAAATTCAATTGGTTCATTAATGATTAAGATACAATATTTTAAGATCATTAAGTTTTATTTTATCACCGGATATGAGTGAATTTCTCAACCAAAGTGTCTTCGATTTTTTTTTTTTTCATGTTTTTTTTTTCATTTGATTTCTCTCCTTCGATTCTCTTATCTTTACTTTTTTCCAAAAAAGCTCGAAATACTTAGTAGCTTTAGTTTCGAAAAAATGCAGATATATGCTGAAATGATTGGAAATGTCATGATAGATGCTCGCTCAACTGGAAAATATTATCACTGTAAGTATGAATGACAGTTGCATATTTATTCTTCATTCTGGTTTTCAACTTAAATCTGTTGTGTATTTTGTTTGACGAGAACTATTTACCATTTTACCTCATAGTTGTGAGGCTTATGGGCAGAGCTGCTTCTCACATAACACTCGAGTGCAGTTTGCAGACTCATCCTAATATAACTATTATCGGTGAAGAGGTAATATATTATATCCTCAACGATATTATCTTTCATTTCGTTATACATCTCATAATTTCTTTAATGAGTCGTTTCCTGATTCCCATATCCAGTTTAAGAATAATTATATAATATTTTAGCATTTACCATGTGTTAATTTTATTTAGGTCGCTGCTAAGAAACAGACACTGAAAAACGTCACAGATTACATTACGGACGTGATTTGCAAACGTGCTGAACTTGGTTATAACTATGGGGTTATACTTATACCAGAAGGCTTAATTGACTTCATACCAGAGGTTTATAAACTATAATCCCATATCAACTTAATACATCGTAACTTTTTTTTTTAAATGTGTATTTACTCTCTAAATCTAATTTTACTCATTATTGTTAAAGGTGCAACAATTGATTTCGGAGCTTAATGAAATCCTGGCTAATGGTAGTGTTGATGAAGATGGAGCTTGGAAAAGTAAGCTCGGTGAACAATCTCGCCAGCTGTTTGATTTTCTGCCGAAAGCTATCCAAGAGCAGTTGCTACTCGAAAGAGATCCACATGGAAACGTGCAGGTATTTATCGATTATAGTAAGTCATCATCTTCAATTGTTATTATATAGTAATTTTTTTTTTTATTATTTTGTGTAGGTTGCGAAAATAGAAACGGAAAAAATGCTGATCGAGATGGTGGAAGCAGAACTGGAATCAAGAAGGAAGAAGGGTTCGTACAAAAAGGAATTCAGAGGACAGTCTCACTTTTTCGGGTAATTAAGAACTTCTGCTGGAAGATTAGAGTGTAAAATGGAGTTATATAATAATAATTATCTTAGTTATTATTTCGATTTTTTTTTTTTTCAGGTATGAAGGTAGATGTGGTTTACCTTCAAACTTCGACTCGAACTACTGCTATGCATTGGGCTATGCTGCTGGGGCACTCCTACAATCTGGGAAAACCGGCCTGATTTCATCGGTTTTTGTGCCTTAC